GTTTTGTAAAATTACAGATTTAATAAACAAACTATTTTACATCTCTGTAAGGAACTTAGAGGGGATTTTGAAAGTCAAACACTGAGGACCCTTGCTTTGACTGTGGTGGTAAAAGTAACATCTGCCTCAGACATTTTAAGAACAGACTGTTCAGATCATTCTTTTCAGCTATGGTAGGAGACTTGACAGACATAAGCCATCCTACCCCTCGTTTCTACACTTACATCTCTCAGCTGAGCGAAACCTTACATCAAAGCACTCATATCAATGACATTAAGATTTAATTTTACCTTTCTCTTTCAGATATTCAGTTCATTACAATAACTTTAATGGTTTCCTTATTAAAACAATAGCACAGAAATAAAAGAAAAAAAAAATTTTTTGGTTGCACCCCTGGGATGCCACATTTTTCTTATTCTCCAAATCTGAGAAAAAAAAGACATGGGTTAAGCTTTCTGCCACACTCACATACGTTTACCAGTACAGACTCAGGACCCTGTGCAATGTGACTTGGACAGCTACTCACATGTAGGTTATCCCAGTAATGCTGATGCACGTGCTGCCTCTTCTTGAGACGAGTCCCTGAATCATCAAGTATAAGAGCATTTAGCCCCAGGATGGGGAGTAGACCTGAGATCATAGGCCAGTCACTTTCTTTTAAAAATGCTTAATTGTATGTCCATGATAACATTAGCTTGGGGTAAATACAAATACAGGGAAAAAGAAAAGGGGACAAGGATCTTCATTGCTGCCTCCATCAGTGAGGCTCCTTCCTCCTCCATTGCTCTGTTTCTTTGTCTCTTCTTGGGCTTAGAGCTCTGCCCAGTGTTAACACACCACCAGAGATCTGTTAATTCTTTCAGGTTTGCTGGTATCCCTGGTGTCAGGCACTTTTTTAGTGACTGTATGATTCTTATGGGTCATAAAATGTTACAGGAACGTTAGCTTAATTTCGTGCTTCTGGAATGAAATTTCATGTAGATGGTTGGTTAAAGTTCATGGTTGTAAGACTTTTGTGAAATCTCTGCAAGTTTTTTTTCCCATTTTAACTGGAAAGTTAAAAGGCAAGTCTCAGACAAGGCACTCAAAAAACAAAGCCAAACAAGGAAAAGATAGAAACAGCTTGAGGAGCATTGGAAACTTTGTTTTAGCATGCAAAGATAATAAACAATAGCTTTCGGGGTCTTATCATGATGTATTGTCTGTATTTCAACACATGGTCTTTGTAAAGCAGACAAAACTGGTTTTATTAAAACATCAAAAAATGCATTTCCCTAAATCATCTCTTCTTCTGGTCAGAATTTATTTTGCCTGGCAGGTGTATCCCATTTACCACAACAAAAGGTGAAAGATTTGATGTTGCGATTGTGGAGTCTCAGGGAGACAACACTCATCTAAGCACTCAGTCCTCTTCTGTGAAAGTCTGTGAAAGTTTTTCCTTGCAATCTGTTTCCCAGTAGTTTCCCAGATTTCCTACCACATCAGCAACTTTATTTAGCATTACGGTGGCTCATGACACTTTCTCATGTGGAAAATATCTACTCTATCACAAAAAAAGGTGAAGTAAAGAGTTTCTCTAGTAACTGTGAGGTCCCTTGAAGTTTCAACAACTTACAAACTTTTAAAACTCGGGTTTGATCCAGAGATGTAGATGCCTATGCAATGTGTCCATTTTGATTACTTAGAGAGATGGGCAAATACTCTGAAAAGGTCTCTAATCTTTGATGTAGTTGATGAAATATTTATCACATTGCCCAAAGTTGTTAATGATACTGTTTCCAAGTTCCAGGGCATATATTTAGCAAAAGATCAAGAATTTGATCCAAGAAAGTGATTGATTAGGGCCCTTAAGTAGTGCATAAAATCCAGCATAGGAGATAATTTAAACTGGGATCACAAAAACCCCTTCACAGCCAGCAAGAGATTTCCTACACAGCCAACAAGAGATTTTCTACACAGCCAACAAGAGATTGCCTACAGATGAATAGGACAAAAGGCCAATGAGGGTGATACTTTTTTAGTATGATTCCTCTCTGGAACTTAGCTTCCTTGTACTGGATCTTGAGTTTTCTGATATTAAACTTCCATTAAAAAAAAAATAAATATGTAGCATATACACTCTTCCTTCTTAAGAAGTTGAACCAAGCAACACTGTGCTGGATAACCTAGTAAGTGGGTAGTGTGTTCACCCAGGAGGCAGCAATGCAGTTTGATGTTGGACTGCTGCCCTCTACCCAAGGAGCTCCCAAGCTGGCTCTTGTCCCTGTGCTCCTGAATTGTTGCTCCTCACAGAAGAGCTTCACAGCTCCCCACTTTGCTGACCCAGTAGCTGCCACTGCAACAGCTGTATCATCTGTGACCTTTTCCTCTTCCTCTTCCCATCTCTTAGTCTAAATCGGAAGTACAGGCAGCTGTTGTATTATATTTCCATTCCTCCACATGCTTTCAGCTGATGTAATTCATGTCATCTGTATTCAGTCGCCTCCAGTTTTTTGGATTGACATCTTTTGCAGCCATCCTTACTTAGTATGTTGGAACCGTTCCCCTCCTTTTCTCATCAGGCTCATGTCCAGCCCTCATAATGAAAGGCAGGTGATATACAAGCCAACATTTTACCTCATTCAGGCTCCCTAGTTCCCTCAAACTCCAAACCTCTCAAGCATAAGAAGAAGCTGAGTACAAGCCACCATTTTTCAGCTCTGCCTGCGAGCCTATAAACCTATGTTGGTTTCTATGTCAGAGGAATTTGAAAACATCTCTGAAAAACAGTGTTAGCTTTTTTACATCAAAATCATTGAAACAGATTATATTGGGTTTTCTTGCAGAGCATAATTACTGTAATTAGCTGGTAAGATTTGAAATATTGCCCTGTTGAGAAAATGGACAGTAGTTTGATTGAAATATCTACAACTGAATAGCCACAGGATCACTTATTCTGTATGTGTATAAATCCTTCCTGTCTATTGTCATCTTTTTAACTTGAATGTACTATTCTGCTGTTTATACCCACTGTGTTTCCTGAATGTGTCAAAAATCTTTTTCCTATCATTTCCCCATCCACTTGACCAAAACGATTTTACATTTATTACATTCATTCCTAAGTGCTTCTATGCCTTCCGCACACATGTAAGCAAAAGATTATACAGGAAAGACATACCTATGAAAAAGCAAGTCTAGAAGAAATTGCTAAACTATTCTAATCTTGATGCTTACTTCACCATCTGGGTAAAATGTCTTGTCTACTGGAACTGTTGAGCATGCCTGTCTCTTGTTCACTTCAAAATACTTATCTTTTTGCTCATCAGTCAGACTCATCAGTTGGCTTCCAGTTCGGAGGGCAGTGAAATGCACTCATACAGTTCAGTCATTCTTGTGGTATCTCAGAATCACTGACTGGAGAAAACTAGGTATTATTTCAGACATCTTCCAGGTTATTCTATACAGCTGATGCAAAGCCACAAAGAAAAATTTTGTAGTGACTTAAGAGGGTTTGATGGTGATCTTAACAAGACCTCGATGATTTTCTCCTACTGTATTGCCAGTAATGAAGCTCAGTGCTGGCCTGTTTTGTGGGTAGTCTTTCTTGAGGACCCCTTCAAGGACAACTTTCCAGGTGGATTCAGAGCCCTTTGTTCTTGCTGTACCACTGCTCCCAAAGATGCTGACTAAAATGCTGAAAGATGAACCAGACATATGCCTGCTGAGGCTTTTGTGCTGGTCATCCAGACAGTGGTTTCACTTGATATCGGATAGTCTCAGTGCTGGGGGGGTCAGGACCAAATGACTCACACAGCAGAGAGGAGAGTTCCACCTGGCAAAGGGTAAGGAACTGTCTCTGAAAAATGCTGATGTGGTATTTTATGCTACATCCCATACTCTTAATTCTTAATTTCATGCTTTCACACTTTTTTTATTTCTGGAGCTGGTATCCAGTGATCTTGGGTCAATATTTTCTTTATGCAAATTTCCTTCTGTACAGAATATTAATCTCAGCCATTGGCATTGACAGACAAGAGTTAAAGTTTCATTTTAAATATATGACTCTGACAGAGCATACATAATGCTCTGCTGTGTTTATAAGATAATTGTACTTATTCTTAATGACATTTAACATTAAAAGTTGCAAACTCCAGGCACGCTAGCCCCTTCCATGATGTCTGCTCAGGAACAGCTGTGGAGGAGCAGTTAGCTTTCTTCACAAGATACTGTTATAACAGGTATTTTGGTGCAAGGTTGTTTTACCTTAATGGATTTCATCTTGAAACTACTGTTTGTTATTGCCTTAAAAGAAACGTAATTATTTGTTACTGTAACCAACATGAATCCCCTACAAACAGTAGCTGCCAGCTGGTATGGGGTTTTAAAAGTCTTATAAATTGAGATTTCCAATTATTTTGGCAAAAGCCCAGGAGAGTCTTATTTTCGTTATAGGCTACTCTGTTTGCGGGAATTCATATGGATGCATTCCATCTCCAGTAAAAAGTTATATTATGCTGCAGGTGTACAGCACACACAACCAATAAAATAAAAATCAAAGCCTCACAGGTTTCAGCCATTGTCCATTTTTCGTAGCTTGCGGTGTTGGCAAGGAGTTTATGTTCTAAACCAGCATTGGGCAAGATATCCCATTCACTTGCAATAGGAAAAATTGACCAGTTTTAGCTGAGGAGCACAGAGTATCCCTTCTCCCATTGCAGGTCTCCCTGCTCCTTTCCCTCCTGCCCCAGGGAGGGAGGTGCTGCATCGCTGAGCATGTGAGAGGGTGGTGGGAGTCAAACCCACAGCCTCATCTCCATCACCATCCAGCCAAGTCCCACGGAGAAATAAATCTCTGCACAAGAAGCAGTTACTGACCATCAGCCCTGGAGTTTCCTGAAAGTCCGGGGCTGTGGTTGCAGCTCGCCTCACCCTGGGAAAGGTCTGAGCTCGATCTTTGCGGAAAATTACAACTATCTGAATACTTCCTAGCTCCCTACTTAAGATAGTGAAAAAGAGCTCACCACTCTCAGTTTGCTGTCTTGAGAGGAAGGGCGCTGTGTTTGTGACTTTTTATTTTCTGTTCTCATTTCACCACTCCTCCCACTTCTCAATTTCCACACTGAATAGCAAAAGAGATGCAGGCATTAGCTTTCGACAACCTTATAAAAATAAGTCAGCATGTATTATTTACAAAATGTTCAGTCAGAAACTGTAAATTATTCAGAATTTTTAAAAGGAAATTGACAGGGTACCTAGATTTAGTATTTGACTAAGTGCACAAAATTAGAATTAAAACTGCCTGCGAGCATAAAAGAAACTTATAACATTTACTTGGCTGTCAGCTAATTCGTATTCAGTGTTTACTTTTTCCAAATTGCTTGTTTTCTTTAAGTTTCCATTTATTGCTTCATTAATATGATCCACTTCCAATGAAGTGATTTAGGACAAGAATGCCCCAGCGAAGGCTTTTCAGGTATTTTGTGGGCTTTTCTTTTTTAACATCTTTCATATTGTTTAGCAAATCACATGGGATAGAAGCATGACTGCTTTCTCTGGGGAAATGTCACACAAGTAACTTACGCAGGACCGATCAGTATAAGAAGAGGGAGAGCATGGGCTGAGAAAGGAGCCGCATTCTGGAAAAGCATATTTCCACTGTCCTTTACTGGAGACCCCAGGCCTCAGCACCAAGGAGGTCTGTGAGGCATGGGGAGCTGCAAGGGAATTTTCCTACTGAAAAGGTTCTCTAAGAAAAGCATCCCTCCATCTCAGCAGGGTGGAGCCTGGGAACTGATAAAAGCAGCAAAGGAAAAACAGCCTTCAGAGTCTGGAGAGGAAAAGGGAAAGGAGGGGCAGGATTGGTGACTTTCACCTTCAAAAAATAGTGGGTTGAGATTGCATTAGACCATGAGAAGAGAAAAGCAGAAATCCCTTTTAGACTGATCAGTGGAGCCAGTAAGGGACAGTGGATCTCTCCTCATCTTCTGTGAAGGCCTTTGGTACATCCCTTGTCCAGCACACAAAGCTGCTGCCTGTCCTTCCCAGACCCCTCCTCAGCTGACCTGTGATTTCCAATGCCATGGGTACAGATACTGTCCCAGCCAGGGTAGTGCAAGGCCAGCTTTTTTTTTTTTTTTTTTTTTTTTTTTTTTAGGTGAGGACGTTCAACAGGTTTTTCTGTACTCCTCTCAGCATAATCCTCCTGGTTTTAGATGACTGAAAAATAAGAGTGTGGTTTTAAAGTCTGAAACTGATAATTTTGTCAGAGCTTCTGGCTGCTATTGGGTGCACGCTGCCCCCTTCCCACCCCCAAAAGACTGGCTTTCTAGGGCAAGCATGAAACGAGGGAGAGTGGAGGTTAAGTGCTAGAAGCCTGAGGAAGGCAATGTGCACATCCACAGTCTACAGTGTTAATTATTCCTCTTTCAACAAAGAATGGAGAGCATTTGGGGTGGACCAGACTGCAGGTTTGGAGTGAAGAGGGTTGTCAAACATGGGAAGTACTTAATGCAGTAGGGGACTTGTTTCCAAAGGACATGAGACATACCATTTAGATTCACAACTCTTTAAAGTTTTGATATCTACAGTGGAAAACAACTGAAATAGTGAACGTTCGAAATATATTTAAGCCAATGTGTTTAACTGAAGCACTTAAATATTATGTATACTAATTTACAGCTTGATTTTGATAAAAATGTAGGAGCATAAAGCAACTAACCTTAAATAAAAGAGGTGTGGCTGTATATTTAAGTTCAGACAACAGAAGAGATGTCACTTCTTTGTGTGTTTATAAAACAGGTATAACCCCAGTCTGGCCAAACCTAGGTGTGTTTTAATGAAACTCATGTTGCCATTTCTTTCTTTTCCTTCCTGTTGCAAATCCACACACAAGAACTTTGTTCCCTACTCTGAATTTTGCTCTTATTCATTAGCATGGCAATGTGATCATTGTTCAATCTGACAGAGACACAGAGCCAAATCTGACCTTAAACATTTGATAGAGGTCTTTTTGTAAAATATATGATTTACCAACAGCTGCAGTGATTCTACAACAAATATGTTAGTATATCAGAGAACTGGGACACGAGTTTGTTTAAACAAATCCAATAAAGCTATCATGGGAAACTGAAGGAAGTGGGTCACTAGTTTCCTGATAATATTTACGACAGTCCATAGATAAGAGAACTGGAAAGGAGGCCCCTCTTCCTTCCATAGTTTATCACACGGTTAATGCAGAAAGACGAATTGTAGGATAAACTCTGATGTCATGCTCTAGCTTTGTCACTCAGACCATCTGTGCAAAACCATTTATAATAGTGTGGAATTTGGGACAAACGCATGATGTTTAAGATTAAGATTCTGAATGGAAGAATGATACATTTCTCTAAGGCACTCATTCTGAAGTCAAAAGGGAACCTGTGAGCAAAGAGTTTTCTGTGCTCAAAACCTAAGAAATATTTGAATGTAGCTCAGTGGCTCAAACTCACAGAAGTATTAGGTAGTCATCACCCACTGATTTCAAGATCTGTAACAAAGAAAAAGCTGGCCTGATGACTCTGGACTTTGAAATGCTGTTCTTTACTGTGGCACACAAGTAGTATGGATACTTTCAGCAGGCAAATATTAACTGTAAATGGAAGTAGTTCTGGTGCCAATAGCAAAATGAGACTAACATTTACAGTGGTGACTTTCTCTTTTCTTTCACATGCTGAGCCATAAGCAGAAGCATCAGGCCATGTGCAGAAGTGAGCAGCGTGCACATCTCATTATACACCATAGATCAGCTGGGGAGACTAGGAACAATTTTAATGAAATTACAATAGTCTCTAAGCTCCTAAAAACACTTCTGGCAGCAAATCCTTGCTTCCTGAGTAGAAAGGAGCCATGGACTGATAAGTGGATGGCTCTAATTCCTTCTGACCCATCCATGGAAAGATGATATAAACTATGTACATATCTTATTTTTGAATAGCTAACTAATCAGACATGGGTACTGCTTAACTTCAGTGGATATGTGTTAAAACAACAGCCTCAGAAGCTTCTAATTTAATGATAGCAAGAGTTAATTAGGGAATAGAAAGGCTCTGCTGAAACTTGATCTACCTATTATGCTTTTGTGTTTCAATAATACTAATTTAATTAGGTGGAGTTAGAGAAAAAGCCCTATTGTGAGGGTAAAGGGTTTCGAACCGCAATGACAATTTTTTTGGCTCCTCCAAATTGTGGTCCCCAGAGCATGCCGAGCTGGAGCATACTGAGGAACTCTTCTGGTGATTCTTCCCTTCCCACTCAAAAAATGCACCAGGCTAAGCAAGTTGGCAGCAATATCCTTCTTTCACAGAGTTTGAAGGGGTTTTATGGTCCCATGGTCCTTGCAGGGGAAATATACCAGGGGCCAAGGCAGCCATCAATGGAGCAAAATTCCTCTCTTTGCCTCCCTCCCAAAACCTCAGGCATTCCAGCCATCACTAAGATGAGTAGTCACCTTTAAGAAGACAGTCCCTTGGGACTCCACCTGAGCTGCATACCCCTTACGTTTCTTGGGAAACTGGAGCCATCATTAGCAATGAGCCCCCATTCTGGCTGTTTAGATTTTCAGCTGATCCCTCTAATTTGAGCAAATTCCAGACCTACGGAGACTAGAAGTGGCCTTTCCGGGGGAAAGCACACTGTTTCATTTGTAAGGAATAAAAAGTGAAAAACTATGACATGAACCTTGCTAAGATTTCCTCTTTGTTAACCCCTGTCTCCTGTATTTTTCCACAAGTCTCCACATGGTTTTGATTTCAGATCTTCAAAATATAGTTTATGTTCCCTCCCTGCTCTCCTTTGCAGGACTTTGTTTTTCAAAACAGAAAATATTTCCTGGGTTTATATCTTTGTCAGTAGCTTGAAGTGGGGAAAGTCCTTTTTAAAAAGCCCAGTGCTCATAGGAAGAGGAGATTTTGTTTCTGCTTGTTTTCCACTACAGGGTGGCTCTTCTTTCTGCTTGTGGCTCAGAAAGCCTTCCACTTTTGTCCACGTTGTTTTCTGCATCTCTACATTTCTTCATTTGAACCATCAGTCTATGTTGAAGATGTGACTCATAAGCAGTGTCTGTACATAACCCATGACAGAAGACTTGGTGCAGACTTGTTTGTGGTGCCACACACCTCAGGGATGAGGAAGACCCACTCTTGACAGAGAGCAAGCATTCCTCTGGCTGCTGGAAACCTCTTGGCTACAGAGCCAAGCAGCGCCCGCCCAGTCTAGCAGGAAATTTGCCTGACAGAGGAAAATTGTGTCATAAAACTGCTTTTATTTCTCTCGGCCGTCTCAGCCTTTGCGTGGTGGAGCAGGGAATGTAGTGGGAAACCAGAAATCACCTAGGGCTGTTCCATACGAGCTATTCTTGGCTGTCAGAGATGTCCCTGAGGCTGCCCTTGGTCAGGCTGAGACATAAAGTAGTTCTTGAGTCATCAGGGGTTTAAGCAACAGCAGAGTTTGTGTAAAGCCCACCATTTCCCCTCTTGTTCCACACCAAAAATAGCTGGAGTGGACCAGAAATAACAGTGTCCCATCAGCTTTCAGTGTGTCGCCATTAGATCTCCAAGTGAGCAATCTCCGAGTCGGAGATCCTAAATTTATGGCTTTGGTGCTTGTGTGTGACAATACATTTTGGGGTAATTTTGTGGCTTCATTTCTGTGGGGAAGAAAGTCAGAAGGAGTCTATGGTAACCTGAAAACTGCCTGCGGATGTGCTGCAGGGAGGAGAGGGGAAGCTAAGGTTTTGTTTGGAAGAGGAAAAAAAATGATGAAAGCAAACATGAGCCAAGACATAAAGTCTCATTTTGCTCCCATGTGCTAGTGCTTGAGCAGACTATTGTTCTGGACTCAGAGATTGGTTCTTAATTATGTTGAGCAGTGAATGGTTTGAATTACGGCCACATAGTTTGGTGAGCACAAGCCTGTTAAGAATTTTGGCTGGAGAGCAGCTGTGGGGCTGCTCTGAGATCACAGAAGGTGGCTGTTGCTGGAGGTGTTTTTAAGAGTTAAGAGGCGTGCACGCTGCCACCTGAAGTCCCATGCTTGAATGCTTTATCTAAATCTGCCCTTGTCTTTATTCTGCTATTTCAATCT